CCGCTCTCTGCCCAGGACACGACAGGAGGTCAGCAGATTAGGGAAGTGTGGCCGAGACCCAGGTCGGAGTGAGGCGTGGGTCTCCACAGCCCGAGGGACACGCACACACGTATGTGCATGCACACACCCTCGCTCAGCTAGAGCTGCTACAGATGCACTGGTGCACACAGGGAGCTGTGACCTCCCGCCCCGGCCTCAGAACCTACGGCCTGGAGAATGGGAGTGACCCTGCCGGGCACGGCACAGCGAGGCCTCGCGTGCTGGGGTGTGGTGGGCAGGCACCCTGCCCGCAGCTGTGCCCTGACAACCCAGGGATGCGCAAGTACAGCTGGCGAGTGGCTGCTGTGGAGATCCTGGGAACTCTGGTTCCACTGGAGCAGACACGGTGGACGCAGATGCTCCGAAACACGCCGCCCAGGCCAGCGGGTGGGGTGGAGGTTAAGACACGACCCCACATGGCCAACTGCACGGCTCGAGTTCTGGGCCCTTGACTTGAAAATCACGCTGTGTATGTGAGCTTGCCCAAAATCCAGACAGGAGAATGGAGGAGAAGGGACTGCCATGTGGCCATTGTGCCCCGGGGGGTGTGATCTCACCCTGCCCCCCTTCCCATCTTTCTCTCTCTGGGAAGTGCATGAGCCCTATAGCCAAAAAAAAAGAAAAGAAAAAAAGTGCCTCTTCTTTGCGAGCAGCGAGCCTGCTGTCCAGGCAGGATGGTGACTGCCCAAGGTCCCTCAGACAGCCGGGGAAGGGCAGGGGCCAAGCCTGCCTACCCCGAGACAACACCTCCATGCGCAGGTGTCCCCGACTCCTGCCCTCCTCGCTTAGCTCAGCGCCATCCGCTGCCTCGTTCTGGGGAGTGGGCGCGGCTGGCCCTCGGCGCGGCAGGAGTGGGCACGGCTGGCCCTCGCTGCGGCACTGGGCTGGAGGGTGGCCGGACCGGACCGTCAGGGGGTCTCACTGCCACTTATTCGCATCTCAGCCCGACCTTCCCAGGGCGGCAGAGAAGGGCTCAGAGAAGGGCTTGGTGCCTGGGTCCACGCGGAGTCCCGTCAGTCAGCGGATAAGCAAAGGCGCTAGCTCTCGGTCCCCACGGTAACGACGTGGCAGTGCTGGGACAGCAGCCAGGCTGACCCCACGTCCGTGCTCCTCAGTTGGCCCTCGCTCACTCACTCACCCAGCAGACCAGGGTTCCAGCAGCCTGGAATTTCCGGCTCCCCCCACCCCGCCCCGCAGAGCACGCAGGGTCTGGATTTCAGCCCTGCACTTTGTCAGGCAGATGGGCCCCTCCGTGGGCCCTAACTCTGCACGCCTGTCACCCCCTCAGATGGGAGCTCCGTGGGGCAGGGATGGCGACGGCACCTCAGGCTGGGGCTGCAGGGCTGGGGGCCCTACCCCTCCCCAGACGCCCACCTCACTCAGCTTCTTTTCCTGACCCCTGTGGCCTTGGCCCTTTGTGGGAACAGTGGGCTGGTCCCTCCTGGGCTAGGCTGAGCTTGCCGGAAGGCATCACCCACCACCCTGCCTCTGCCCTGAGGTTTGTGCCGTGACCTCAACGCCTGGAGGTGAGAGGTGGGCGGGGCTTGGAAGAGCAGGCCAGGGGCGCGCACCCTTCCTTCCTGCGTCTCCGGGCTCGCGGTGGCAGAGCAGCCTGCCATCCTGCTGGTCCCGGGTTCCTATGTGGGCGGGAACCACCTACTGCTGCCCAGATCACCCGAGGGACCCGCACGTGGGGGGGTCACAGATGGAGACAGAGGCCTTGAGGACGTCTCCACTGCGGGCTCTCCAAGGACGCTGGGCCTGAAGTGCTGGGGTAGTCAGCAGGTTGTTCCCATGGCAACCCCGGGTGCTCAAGTAGATCCCTCCAGGAGCTGGGTGCTCCTGATGCTGGGCTGCTGGCTCTGACCCCTTGCCTGGAAGCCCCTCAGCCCAAAGCTGCTGCCTCGGTCCCCGCTAGGTCCCTCCTCAGGATGGCCACCCAACGGCCGATCGCGGCAGGGGCATGAAGGCCAGGCCCTCGTGCTTTGGTCTCAGACACCCGAAGGGCCAGCAGCTTTCCTCTCAAGCTTGTCGGACGGGCCCTGCTGTGGCCTCACCGAAGCTCAGCTCTACCTCGACCACGTCCGCGTCCCCGAGAGCATGGGGCACCCCCTCAGCAGGCTGCCTGCACATGGCCACGTCTGCGTCCCCCAGAGCACAGGGCACCCCCTCAGCAGGCCGCCTGTGCACGGCCATGTCTGCATGGTGAGGACCCTGACCTGTGGTGAGGCCTTCCTGTGCTCATTCCTTCAACCCCTGTCTATTTCTACAGTCCTCTACTGAGTCCTCCTAGGAGCCAGGCATGACAGACAAGAGGAGAGGGAAACCTGCCCCAGCTCCTTTCTGAGCCCCTCGCACTCCGTCTCAGCAGGCGCCATATTCCAAAAGGCAAAAGCAGCAGCGCTACCGCCAAATGAGCCCTGGGACAGCTGGGAGTCAGCCCCTGTGAGGACACTGCAGGGCACTGGGGGCTGCAAGGTCGCCCGCACCAGCTCCGACAGACGGCAGCGAAGGATGGGGACGCTCACCTTTTATTGAGCACCATGTTCCCAAGCTTCAGGTCTCTGTGCACGATGTTTTTCTGGAAAACAACAGGCGTGTGGTTTGCACAGTGGAAGTGGGGTGAGGGAAGGCAGGAGGACTGCGGTGCATCTGTTCAGGCTCGCTCCTCGATCTGTAAACCGCAGACGTGCGGGCACAACCCTGCCTCACTACCGGCACCTGACTGGGGTCAGATATGGGCCAGGGTCTGTCCCACCTGGGCCCCGTCCTCGGCTCTTCCTCCCTCGGGGCAGGGCTAACAGGGAAAGCCAAAGCTCTCTGCCCCTCGCCAACGGGCCCATGAAAGAAAACAGCTCCAGCCTGGTCTGGGCAGAGACAAACTGTCCCGGTCCCACACCTATGCACTGCTGGCTGGCCCACACGAACTGCAGGGTTGGGAGAAGCTCAGGGTCTCCTGGCCTTGGCCTCGGGGTGCCCGATACCCCACTCCCACAGAAAAGCCAGATAGGCCATGGCTGCATGGCCATCACGCAGGCTCACCCGAGCCAGGAGACTATGGTGCAGCTCTCGACGAGGGCCTGCGCCCTGGCCTTGTCGGGGCACACGCGTGGCCACTCTCCTTCCACGCCACTGCAGAGCACCCTGCAGTGCGGGGCCTCACCTGGTGCAAGGCCTCCACCACGCGCACCACGTCGTAGAAGATGACCACGGTCTCCCGCTCGCTGAGCCGCTTCTCCTTGATGACGTAGTGCTGCAGGTTGATCAGGTCAGCCGTCTTGTCGCTGAAGTCGTGCGCACAGAGGCAGTCCAGGACGAGGCAGATGCGCTTCTTCATCTTCCTCACCATGCGGCTGGATTCTGAGTCCTCGACGATTTCGCAGGTGCGGTCCTGGGAGGCAAGGGCAGACAGGGCGTGGCTGGGACCTGGCAGGGCCAAGGCCAAGGCCAGGGTTTGGTTCTCTGCACCTGGATACTGGCTGTGGGAGTGCCTGGAACACCTGCAGTATGGGCAGTGGGCCCTGAGGCCAGGCCCCGCAGAGAGCTCAGGCTGAGGCCTAGTGCTTTGATGAGGATGCGAGGGACGTGGACTAGGGCTGGGCAGTTGAAGCCAAAGGGCCCAGGGCACAGACATGGCCCAGGGCATAGGCATCACCAGGGTACTCCCTGCTGAGGCAGTGGAAGTTAAGGACAGGTCATCTCAGAAGGCTCCAAGGAGCAGTGTTCCGTGTGTTCAAGACGAGGGTGGCTAAGGGTATGGCTCTGCCTTGGTCGGCCAGCTCAGGCCCCAGCCCCACCCGTGCTAGCCATGGGGCCCGGGCAGTGTGCTTCGTGCTCCAAGCCTCTGGTGCCTCATCTGTAAAGGGGGCTGGCGTCCCCCTTGTGGGCTGGTGGGAGAACTAGGGAAGATGACTGAAGGGCCAGTGGCACCAGCACCGGACGCACACGGGAAGGTCCTGGCTCTGTGTCCCAAGGCCTCCCCAAGTATGCAGGGCACGCACGCCAGCTGCATGCCTGAGACCTGGGCGGTGGGGATGGGGGACGGCAGCATGAGGTCCACTCTCTCTCAGAACAAATAAGTGAATAAACAAAAGAGTTCTTGGAAAAATAAAATTAAAGTACAGATTTATTAAAATAAGAATGAAGGGTCAGTCAGTGGCGTGCTGCCTGAGATGGCTGATCTCACATAGCTGATTATGTGGCCAGGCAAATGTGTGCATGTGTTTGCCCACAATCCCAATGAGGATGGAGAAGCGATGTGTGTGGCCATCCCTGGGGGGGTGCTCTCTCTCTGTCTCTCCATGATCACATGCACCCCACACCCCTGTGCCGTGCCCAGGGCCTGCCGTGGCCTGGGTGCTGCCACCGACATCGTGGCCACAAGCCCAGGCCCAGTCTTCTTGCTAAAAGGTACTTCAGGTGAGACAAAAATCAGGCACATGATGGGAACTGCTTCACCCCCGCTCCAGGAGGCCCTTGCTGTCATTCCTAGCAGACTGACCGTCGTCTCTGGGCGACTCCTGGAGGACTGCATGCCCCACTTCCCTTCGGGAGGAGAGTACATGTCCAGCTGGGACTGCCCCAGACGCCCAGCAGCCCAGTACACTAGAAGGCTGCCCAAGCCCAGATGGCATCACCTGATGCTGAGCTTTTGGAGGTACAAGAGACAAAATACTCGGAAATCACTATCACCCTCAAATTAATATGTTTAAGGGAAAGGCTCGAATTTTCAGAGCTCCCCAACGGTACTGAATTACCCTGACCAGGCGTGGCATCTTCCATTGGTTGATTTCAGGAAATCAGGTCGACAAGGAGTCTTAACTGCCTGCAACGGCGAGGATGGTAAGGCAGGCCACAGCAGAGGGGGCGCTGTCACACTTCCATCCATCTGCCCGCCCAGCCGACAAGGAAGGAACCCCCATTTTACAGACGAGGACTTCCAGATGGGCTTGCAGACCTGACGTGACTGGCCCAAGGTCGCCCCACCTGAATGCAGGACTGTCAGTTTCCAAACCCGTGTGCCTTCCCGGCACCACGCTCTCTCTCGAGGAGCAGGTCTGGCTGAGGGCTCCACGCAGCTCTGTGGAGGGTGGGCCCGTGCAGGGGGCCTCTAGGCCATTCTGAACCCAACCCTCCGCTTATAAAGGGCACTCAGAGGAGGGCTCTTTTCAGGGTACCAGGTGCTTGCTAGTAAGTACCTCTCCTAAGAGACCTGGCACTTCTGAGCACGGGAGCCTGCGGACGTGCCCACTAACTGGAGTGCCTGGGCAGGGAAAAGACTGCTTCTACCAAAGATGGCCGTGGAGGGCCGCATAGCCCAGCCGATTCTGCCTCCCATCCGGCCTGGGACCCAGCTGCGAGGAGGAGCCAAGGAGCCGGGTGTCTTTAAATGACTTCCTGTTTTCCTCTTTTCTCGGAAAAGCAGCTCTTCAAAGAAAGCTTGGCTGCTGTTAAGATGCAAACTGTGTGCATTCCTGTGGGCTGCGGCCTGACCTCCGCACCATGTGGCCAGGACGCGCAGGGTGGATGTGGGCCAGCAGGGCGGGGTGTGGGAACAGCTACTCACCTGAAAGAGCCCGTGGTGGTGGACCACGCCGTCCTGCGTGTGCAGGAGGGAGAGCAGGGAGTACTCGGTGTGCAAGAGCATTTTGCCCTGCCTCTCCTCCTGGCTCTCTAGCCCTTGGTCTCCGCGCTCCTCAAGGGTAAGGATCTGCAGGGAAGAGCAGAGACAAAACCAAAACAGCTCACTGTATAGCTGCGAGGCCGGCTCAGGCGACGCCAAGGGTCACTGTCCACCCCGTGACACCTGGACACAAATCACACACGAATGTGCGGGGTGAGAGCACGCGTCCTAACGTGACGGCAATGCGACTTATGCACAAAGCTCTCCAATCGGCTGTGCTGTGAACTGGATGGCTACTCCTGTCCACACGTGGTGCAGCGCAGGCGTGGAGAGCAGGGATGGCAGGACTGTGGGTCCCCGGCCCCGCCTCCCTCACTCACCTTCAGTTGATAGAAGTCATCCGTGCCATCTTTCCTCGCCAAACACTGCACGATGCTTGGTACTGGGGAGTTACCCAGCCGGGGACCTACGGCACAGAGGACAACTGGCTCGTTTCTCAGGGCCCTGTCTACCGAGCCACCATGCTGCCACGTGTCCTTGTCTCTTACTAGGTCTTCCCTTCAGGAGGGCACCAGAGTTCACTCCCACTGGGCTGGCCTCCCCGAAGTCTCCCCTCTAAACATAGGGCATGTGCATCTGTCTAAGATATATCTGGCTGTGCAGGCCCACTTCTCAAATAGAGGGGCTTTTACCTGGGTACATGATAGACTCTGGGGAGCATATGTTAGAGAAGAGATCTCAGGGGGCCAGCAGGTGGCGTAGTGGTTCAGATGCTGGACGCTCACATGGCCATTTGTGGTTCAAGTCCCGGATCCGGTGGCTTGAAATTCATGCTGAGTACATGTGCATGTGTGCCCAAGATCCCAAGAGGAGAATGGAGAAGGGATTACGGTGTGATCATCCCCACTAGGGTGTGATTTCTTTTTTTTTTTTTGGAGAGATTTTCACTGTAGGGCGCGTGCGCTCGCCAGACAGACAGAGAGAGACATAGAGACAGAAAGCGAGAAATCGGGCCACGACCCGCGGTCGACTACGTGGAAGACCAGCAACATAGCCATTACGCTAACTGCTGGTTCCCTAGGGTGTGATTTCTGACTTTCCCTCTCACTATCTCTCTTTCTCTCTCTCTAGTGAGTGCACACACCCTAGGGCAAAAACCTTTTATTAAAAATAAAGAGCGCTCTCAAGGGACCAGACAACCTTCAGTACAGTGGGACCTGCGGCCTGGGTCCTCCACCAACGTAAACATCCTCCAGGCAGTGAAGTTAGGGCCAGCTGGCGGTGTGGTGGTCAAGTCGGCTGGATCCCACAAGCCTGACCGCATGGTTCAAGTCCCAGGCTGGTGGCTTGAAAACATGTCAGGTGAGTTTCTGGCGGGTCCAGACTGCTCATTGTGAGTTTTAAGCCACCGGGTCCGGGACGCAAACCGCGGTCGACTACATGGGAGTCCAGCGACGTAGCCATTACGCTAACTGCTGGTCCCTGATGGCTGCTCCTTCTCATCCTCATGTCAGCTCCAATGTTCCTTCCTCACGGAGGCCTTCCAGCGTCCGTCACCTACAGTCCCTCATTAACTTCCTTCAAGAGGCTTTTCACCACTGGGGGTCCCCGCTGCTAGTCACCTGCTGTTTTTTCCACCTAGATGTTAAGTGCCGTGAGGGTAGGAGCGGCTAAGTCGCCCCTGCGTTCCTGCAGACGACACCCACCTGGCGTGCAGTGGGCACCACTATCGCTGCACGTCAGGAGCTGGAATGATCCCGTGATGGCAAGTCCAGGAAGCTGTCACAAAGCAAGCCACGCCTAGCCTCTGCCTGCTGGGGGCGCTGGTCTTCAGAGTCCATGGCACTGAGTGCCCAACTCTAGCAATGAGCAGTCTGGACCCGCCAGGCTCTGGCTTCGTGCACCAGGGCCCACTGCTGCTCTGGCCAGGAGCAACACCCAACTCTCAGGGTTCCTGTGCTTAGCTTACAAGAAGGAAAAGCTATGTGGGGAGCAACACCCGACGCTCCGTGACATCAATCATGCCATTCAGGAATGGCCAAAGCAGTGCCTTGGCTGATGGGTCTAAGATGGCTGTGTGTTTCGCACAGGCTCAGTGACATTCTGGGGTTACAAAGGATTCTCTGGGTGAAGAGACAGCCCAGCTCCCAGCTGGTACAGCAATAACAGAAACGACAACCCTCGGTACAGTGGGACCTGCGGCCTGGGTCCTCCACCAACGTAAACATCCTCCAGGCAGTGAAGTTAGGGCCAGCTGGCGGTGTGGTGGTCAAGTCGGCTGGATCCCACAAGCCTGACCGCATGGTTCAAGTCCCAGGCTGGTGGCTTGAAAACATGTCAGGTGAGTTTCTGTGTGTGCCCAAAAGCCCAGCAGGAGATGGGGGAGAAAGGACTGTGGTACGACCAACCCCCGGAGGGGTGCTTTCAGACTTTCCCTCTTTCTCTATCTGTTTCTGGCAAGGACATGTGCCCTCTAGCAAATTTTTAAAAACAACAAAAATAGGGACCAACAGAGGGCGTAATGGCTATGTTGCTGGACTCCCATGTAGTCAACCACAGTTGGAGCCTCAGACCCGGAGGCTTAAATTCACGCCAGGCTTGTGGCATGGCCATCCCCCCTGGGGGGTGATTTCTCGCTTTCTGTCTCTCTCTCTCTCTGTCTTCCTGGTGAGCACACACGCCCTATAGCAAAAAACCTCTCCAAAAACAAACAAACAAGCAAACAAGGCAGTCAGGTTAGGGACTAGGCCGAGGGCCCTCACTGTACATGTTTGCTGCAGGCCCCAGGCCAGCCCCCGGCACACCCGCGCCCGATGGTCAGCGGCTTACCAAGGATGAAGGGTCCAGCTCTCTTTGCGTTATTTCCGGAAATCCCACCTCCGAGAGCCTTTGCCCTGGCCGACGTTTCCCCAGCTCCTCTGTCTGATGCTCTCCGCTTCATCCTCAGCTCTAGACAGGACAGAAAAAAGCCCTTTCAACGAGTAGTTCGGCGAGTTTCTTACACTAACCCAGCCTGCAAGTGTGACTCGGGATGCCACACAGCTGTCACTGCTGTTGTTGCCGCCGCCACCTCCTCCCCGCCCGAGGAGCATCTGAGGTCCCCGGTGACAATGAACCACGGCTCCTTCACTTGGCACTAATCAGGTGCTAAAGGTGGACAGGGGGGGGGCCCCAGCCGGCTCCTCAGGGGCTGGGCAGTCGCACAGAGGACACTGGGCTCTGTGCAGACGCTAACGCCATCTGGGAGGTCCAGGCCCAGCGCTGAGCAAGGACAGCCAGCTCCATTCAGCCGAGCCCCCGCCTTGAAGCAGTGCTCCCTCCAAATACTGCAGCCCAGGACCTGAGACGTCCACGCCCGGGCGATTTCTGGGAGTGACGGAGGAGGCCCCGGGAAGTGGCAGTTACCCCTAAGGCCCAGCGATGTTTCTTACGCCCAGGAAGTTTGAGGGCTACGACCCCAAAGGCCCCTCTCCCTAACTCCTTGACCTGTCAGATGAAAGAACGATGGAAGAACATCCTAAAGCCGTCAATGTCCTACCACCAAATTTTTGTTTAATTACTTTTAAGGATAAAAGAATGCATTGTGTTTTAAGAGTTAACTAAAAGACATCACAGAGTTGGCTGGATGCTGGTTTGTCAAGTACTCAGGGTTAAAATGAAAGGTGGATGTAGGAGCCAGATTCAGGAAGACATTAACCTCTTGTCATGGACTAAAACGACGAACAAATAAATAATTATCTTTTAAAGGGGGGGAAATGGGTTCCATGGCCTGGTGGGTAACACAGCAAGATCCCAGGAGGTCAATCACACCGTTCGAGTCCCAGACCCAGCAGCCGAGAAACACACGGGCCCGAGTGGGGAGGAAATTGCGGCATGGTATCCCCCGTGGGGATGCTTTTCCTCTCCCTCTTTGTCTCTGTCTCTCTCTTTGGAGAGTGCATGTGCTTTCTGGTACACACACACACAAATGAGTTATTTTTCCAGCTCTCCAAAGCCAGACACCTTGGGAAAGCACTTTCATATTTTGAAATTACATGTTTGTGTGCTTAATGTGTGCTGAGCACCACCAGAAAACTCCCCCACTGCCAAAAAGTCCACAAGGAATAAAACATATTCAGAGACTGGGGTCTTCAAAAGTTCATGGAAAATGCCCATTATGAAAATACTATGCATATATTTAAAATGATTTTGCATCAAAATTCGAACTTTAATTCCATTTGCCCACAAACTTGTTGAAATTTTCTCACACGTGTGTATATAAAACACTGCAGCCCAGAACCTGACCCAGTAGAGACTCCATGAATGAGTGGATGCTGTCCCTCCAGTTGGTGACGGGCATTACCAGGGTCAGCGGCCCTGCGCTTGCCCCGAGCTGCCCACTGCCCTGAAAGTAAGTTGGTATCACTCGCATCCTGTCCTGACCTCCATCTTCCCTGGGGCAGTAAGCCTCCTTTCTCTGTCCTGGTTCCCCGGAGAACACAGGGCCGCTAACACCTGCGTAGACGCCGCCTAGCGCCTACGCACAGGCTCGGTCTAGACAACAGTTTGCTGTGAGCAGCTGCAGCACAGACAGTGAGTGGGCCCAGACGACCCCGCCCGCCCCATCATCCTCACTTGAGCACATGGCGCGGGAGCTGCAGGCTGAGGGAGGGGGAGGAGAGATGCTGGCGGGGAGGCGAGGCAAGGCTGTCTCCCTTCCTGCTACCCAGAGGTGACTGAAGGAAAGGAAGGCTCGGAAAAAGACAGACCTGGAAAACCGGGGCTACCCAGGCTCACTAGTGGGGTGAGCCCGACCAACGCTAAAGACCCTGCGACAGACCCTCCTGTGTCGGCCCTCTGCTGCTGAGCTGTGAGCACCTGCCCCACCCTCAGGTCACCCTAGGCTGTGTCCCTCCAGAGACACACCTGAGGTGGTCCACAAGCGCTCCCGCGGGGAGCCTTGCTGAGGGGTCTCGGCTTCACAGTGAGCTCTGTAGTGAGGAAACTCAGACTGCTCCAGTCTCAGATGGCCCTGGGCCCAGGCCCCCTCCATCCTCCCAGAAACACCTGGTCTTCAGGTGGGAGGCCAGGCCCTGGCCCCACTGCTCAGCTCCCAGGAACTCGAGTCCTCGCTCAGAGGACTCTGGAGCTTCGAACCTTCAACTTGTCTATGCTCTATCTGAGCAGGTGAGCACCAGTCCCCTTCGAGCCTGGATGCGCAGGAAGCTCAGTGAGGCACCAACGAGGCCGGCACTGAGCGAGCGCCCAGTCTGGGGCCCGCCTTCTACAGGCTGCAGCTGTGCACCTCAATTCTGAAGCGGGGGTCCCATCTGCTTTGTCTGGCCTGCCCCCAAACAGCGTGCCCGACCGTGCCCTGTCAACTTGGGGCGAATGGCATGTCACCCTAAAGGTACTGGACGATGTGAGCCCCAGAGTTGCCCAGCCCAGAGACAGGGCGGGAGGGCTGAGGGCCGGGCCCGTGGGCACTGCACAGCAGGGCGTGGGCTGACCTGGTGGAGGCGGCGGCAGAGAACGACGGAATGGAGCTAAGGAGAGCCAGTCACTGTGCCCTGGTTCAACCTGTCCCCAGTTCCCCAAAGCAGCTAAAGCCTGACCAAGGCTCGGAGGGCCCACCAGCATCCACACATATCCACGTGCCCAGTGCTGGCACATACACAGAGCAGGGTGGGCCTCCCTGCCCCCATAAACACTAGGGGCAGCAGCAGAGGCTGCCCACCTGTGCAGAGGGTCCCACCTGCCATCTCAAATTGGCTTCTTGCAGCAACCTCTGTGGTCAGGAGAGGTGGGCGACCCTGCAAACCGACCAGGGTGGAGAGCACCAAGACAGTCCCTGCAAGGACATGAGCGGGGGCCCCAGCCCAGCGAGCCCTGGTTGTGTGAGCGTGAGGACAACGGCAGCCCGGAGGCACCGCTCCTGCTCGTCAGCAGCTGCCAGTGGCCATGGGGGCCCCAGGACCATGCTTGCTCTACAGGGCAGGCCGAGCCACAGTGCTCAAGCTGTCCTGTCAGCAGCCCTTACCCCACCGGTACTTCCTAGCTGTCAGAAATAAAGGGGTAAGAAGGGCCGGCAGGTGGCATTGTGGTTAAGGGCACTGGCCTCCCGCATGGCTGACTGCGGTTCGAGTCCCAGACCTGGCAGCTTTTCTCACTTTCCCTCTTTCTCTACCTCTCACTCTGTCCCTCTCTGGTAAGAAAGAAAAGAAAGAAAGAAAGAAAGAGAAGGGAGAAAGAAAGGAAAGGAAGGAAAGAAGAAAGGGAGGAAGAAAGAGAAAAGAAAAGAAGGAAGGAAAGAAAGGTTAAATAAATAAATGAGTAAGAAATCAGTGTTCCTGGGCTCGGCAGGTGGCATGGTGGTTCAGGGTGCTGGACTCCCACATGACTGAGGTGCTTTGAGTCTCGGACCTGGTAGCCTGCTTTCTCACTTTCCCTCTCTCTCTCTCACTCTGTCCTCTGGTCAAATTAAAATAAAATAAATAAAGTTAAATAAAATGATTCTTTGAAAAAATTAAAAAAAAAAAGACAGGCTGTACCCTCCCACATGGCCAACCACGGTTTGAGTCCCGGACCTGGCAGCTTCCTTTCTCCCTTTCCCTCCCTCTCTCTCTCTCTCTCTCTCTGCCTCTCTCTGGTCAAATTAAAAAAAAATTGAATGAATAAAATTAAAGAAATGATAATAAAAAAAAAAAAAGAGGGACCAGTAGTTGGCATAATGTCTATGTCACTGGACTCCCATGTAGTCAACCACAGTTCGAGTCCTGGACCCGGTAGCTTAAACCCTCGTCAGGCGCGTGTGTGTGCGTACTCAAGATCCCGAGAGGAAAACGGAGGAGAAGGGATTGAAGCGTCGCCATCTCCCTGGAGGGTGATTTCTCGCTTTCTGTCTGTCTGTCTCTGTCTTTTTGGCAAGTGCACATGCCCTATAGCAAAATCCTCTTAAAAAAAAAAAAAAAAAGGCAGACAGAAATCAATGTTCCTGCGCTATGCAGGAAAGGCCATCTTCTGGCCTTGACCTCGGCCAGTGTCTACTGAAGGCAGGGACCCGGGACCCTGCACCTCCTCCCAGCCGGTGGCAGCTGGAAGTGAGTACAAGTTCCCCCCCTCGCCTGGCCTCAGTCCTGGTCCACCTGCACTGGTCAGGGTCTGCGTGCCCAGACCCACAGCGGATCCCGGGGGAGAGGGTGACAGAGACTCTGCCCCAGGATACCACAGGGAGAAGTAGGGCATTTGGGGGTGAAAGGGACTGGGGGGTCTCATTCTGGGCCAGTCACCCTGGGACTGAAGGGATCGCCATCTTGGCCTTCATAACCCACACTGTTGGGGACCTCTGGGATAACGCGAGGATTGTGAAGTAAGCCCCGTGTGGGGCAGACACCAGCACTGCCACTTAACAGGGCTGAGCTCCTAGGCAAGTCTCCTACCCGTGTCAGACCCAGCTCCGATCTCATTTACAAGGTGTTCTAGGATTAGGTGAGATAACCCACAAGGGCTTTACAGAGGGCCCACGGAGATACTCGGAGCCCTTGGTAAACTGCTATCGGCGTGAACACAGTAGCTTCGACTCTCCCCTGCCCAAGGAGAGAGGACAGCTAGATGCTGAACTGGGGCCGGGAGCAGAAGGGTGGCTTAGAGGCCTCGCCCTGCCATCTGTCTGCTGCCAGCCCAAGGGACATGCTCAGCCGGGGGGACAGCCGGTGCTGCTGGTGGATCTGGGTGGGAGGCAGGGTGCGGCTGCACTGGGGGCCGAGGGCGCGCCTGCTCTTCGGGTGGAGCTGGAGATCTGACCGTGTGTACTGGTCCGTGGGGACAGAGGCCCCACTCTGCAGGCGATGGGCGGAGCCCAGCTGGCAGTTATTCACTTGGGGCATAGTAAGGGATTGGCTGAGATGATGAAGCCACCCTGGAGGGGTCTGGTTTCATGCTCCAGTTGGGGGTGAAGCGTGAAGGGTGAG